AGCATAATGTAATGGGAATGATTGTATGAAAGAAAATATTAATGAAAAATTGTGTGAAACACAATGTATAAGAACTTTATAAGGAAATTAGTATAAAGTAAAAATTAAAAAATATATGGCATCAAGATTGGAGCAAGATTCATCAATAATCTGTGTTATGCAGACAGCAGAACTTTGGTTGCTGAAAGTGAGCAGGACTTGGAACACCTTTTGCAGAAGATGAAGAAATACAACCTTAAGTGTGAATTGCATCAAAATATCAAGAAAACAAAAAGTCTTACCAATGGACTTACAGGCAACATCATGCTTGATGGAGACAAAACTGAAGTCATCAATGATTTTATCTAACTAGAATGCACAATCAAATCCCTTGGTACCAGCGGTCAGGGAATCAGGAGACATATTGCACTGGGAAAGCCAGTAGTTGGAGAGCTTTCCAAATTATTGAGGAGAAAGGATGTCAGTTTGAGACTAAGGTAGGTCTGACTTAGGCCATAGTTTTTCTATTTGTTATGCATCTGCAAGCTAAATAATAAATGAGGATGACAGAAGAAGAATTGATGCTTTTGTTGCCGTTCTATTTGAGAAGCGCACTGAATATCCTATGCACTGCCAGAAGAAGAACAGATAAGTCTTCGAAAACGGGCAGCCTTGGATGAAGTCAGAGATGATGAAGCTTTGTCTCAAATACTTCCGGTATGTTGCTAGGAGAAGTTATTCCTTGGAGAGAGACATCATGCTTGGAAAGGTAGAGGTACAGTGAAAGAGAGGAAGACCCTTAACCAGATGGATTGACACAGCGATTTGAATGTGTTGGAAATTGTGACGCTGGCACAGGATAGGACGGAATTCAGATGTGTTGTTCATAGGGCTGCTATGAGTCATACTTGACTCAATGGTACCCAAGAACAGCAAGCCCTTAACAGGAATAGAATATACATCTTTTTCTTATAAAGTACCTGGTGGATTTGAATTGTTGATCTTATGGTGAACAGGGATACATACTACACGTTGCATCACCATTGCTCCATTATTTTAAAACACACAAATATTAGTTTTGTTTTTAAATTTTTTATTAGAAACTGTCCAATAATTCTGAAAATGTTATAAGTGACATGTAAAAATTTACTAATCCTTTAAGATCTGTAATTGTCTTGTACACACACACACATAGGAATATGCTAGTAAATCATTAGACAGAAATGAAAGAGATTACATAATTATTGATTTGGATTTTTTCCTTTCTGGATACTTGACTAGAATAATTCTTGCTTGTAGTTAAGTAGTGTTGTTGTTGCTGTTACGTGTCATTGAGTCACCTGTGATAATAGTGACTCTATTTACAACAGCCCTAAGCCCTGCTCTATTCTGTGTCAATCTTATTGTCTCTGACACACCTACCCCCATACCCCTGTCACTGAATCAATCCATCTAATTGAGGGTCTTCCTCTCCTGTGCTGTCCCTCCACCCTCCCAAGCATGATGTCCCTCTCTACGGACGGGTCCCTCCTTGCAATGTGTCCAAAGTATGTCAGACAAAGCTTCAGAATCCTTGTCTCCAAGGAGCATCTTGGTTTCACCCTCTCTCGGATGAACCTGTTGGTTTTCTTAGCAGTCCATGGTACACTCAATACTATTTTCCAACACCACAGCTCAAAATCATCAACTCTCCTATCAACTGTAGTCACTGTCCGGCTCTCTGGTACCTAGCATGTGATTGCAAAGACCATGGCCTGTATCAGGCACACCATAGTCTCCAGAATGACATCATTGACCTTCAGTACTTTGGAGAGGGCTCTAACAGCAGACTTTCCCAGTGCATTTTGTCTTTTCATTTCCTGACTGTTGGTGCCAAGAGTGTTGTTTATGGAGCCAAGCAAACTAAAGAAGTTTACAATCTCAGTCTCTTATGAACTTTCAGCCCAGTGGTGAGAATCTTTGTCTTCTTGACATTGAGCCTCAATCCGTATTGAAGGCTGTAGTCCTAGACCCTCTGCAGCAAGCGCTTCAGGTCCTCCTCAGTTTCAGCAAGCAGTTAAACGTGTCAAAGGGAAATAGTTCTATAATAATTTATGTGGTTTATGAAAATATCAGACTTTCAGTATGGCATACTTGTATGCTTGCTCTGAATTACTTCAGGGATTTTCTGTTTTATGACATATTGCAACGAGAATATCTGCTTCAAAAGCCTTATTTCGATTGTGAAAAGAGCTCAGGTGTACCTTACTCAGGGCATTTTATGTTCATTGGTCTAATAGACACATAGCATTTGGACAGTAAATAACAATGACAGAAGAAGAGTTGACGCCTTTGAATCACGAACCACAGATCTGAACTTTGCCTTATGGGTGTGTTCTCTGGTGTGCTCATGGCTATTCTTCCAGTCACTGTGTTCATCTCTCTTGTCAAGGGTAATCCTCTCTTTCTATGATCCTATATCTTCCTCAGCATAATGACATTGATATTCTTCAGTAAATTATTCAATTTTTTTTCAATTTATGCAAATATACTGTGTCATCCAAATAGCGCATGTTGTTGATGTGTCTTTCTCTAAGCTTGATGTCGCATTCTACTGCCTACATTCCAACTTCTTGGATAATTTGCTCAGCATACAGATTGAATAGACATGGCAGGAGGATATGGCCCTAATGCATACTCTTCCTGATTTTAAACCATGCAGTGTTTACTTCTTTTCAGACAGTTCCCTCTTGGCCTAAGTATAGTGTTTCCATGAGCACAGCTTAATGATCCAGGGCTCATTTTTTCCCCAATGTTATCCATAGCTCATTATGATCTGCACATTCAAACACTTTTGCATAGTCAATAAAATATAAGTAAGGATACGTTTTACCTTCTCTTCTTTCAGTCAAGATACAACTTTCATCAGCAGTGATATCCTTTGTACCATGGGCTCTTTAGAAACCATCTTGACTTTTTGAAAAAATCTCTCTCCATGTACTGTTGCAGCTGATTTTAAGTAATCTACAGCCAGATACTATTTGTATATAATATTAAGGAAAGCGTTCAATAAGTTCTGCAATCAATTGAATTGCCTTATTTTGAAATGGGAACAAATACAGATTTTTTTCCCAGTCACTCAGTCTTCCAAATTTCTTTATATAAGCTAATTAGCACGTTTGTTGAAATATCTGATGTGAAATTTTCTACTGAGCCTTTATTTCTAACATTTGATCTCTAGTCACAAGAATCAGTGATGTTTCTTGGTCAAGATGCATCTCCCTGTAAGTTAGCGTAAATATTTTCCACTATCTAGAGATATTTTATGTATAAAATTTTTTATTTTATACTGTTTTACTTACAAAGTTTATATACATTGTTTTGCACACCACATCTTTCCCATTTCCTTTACTCATCCCACCTCTATCCATCAAATTGTGTGACCCTATGACTGACGCCCTGCCATCCACACCTCTCTGCTTCTATCCTCCCATCCTCATAAATGTTTTACTAGTCATCTTTCGATTTTTACAATAATTGTCTTATACAGTATTTGCCCTTATGGGTCTGAGTTCATTTAGCACAATGCTCTCCAGTCCCTTCCAATTTAACTACCTAGAAATATTATTTAGCATTTATAAGAATCAAAACTTCTAAACTTTTACATTGTATCATTGTATTTATAATGCACACACACATACACATTCAAATATTTGTATTTTGCATGTGTAAGTTTGCTTTAATTTTATAATTGATAAAATTTTGGATTTAGAAAATTTGGGGTGTTTTTAATTAGAATGTACTATCCAAGAATTTTATCACTCAATGCTGCCTTATTTAACAGCAGATTTACAGCAATCAGTTTATGTTGTTATGTGCTATTGAGTTGCCCATGACTCATAGCAACCCTATGTACAACAGCCTTAAGCCCTGCTCTATCCTGTGCCGATCTCACTGTCTCTGACACACATACCTGCATTACCCCAGTCACTGAATCAGTCCATCTCTTTGAGGGTCTCTCTCTTCTGTGCTGTTCCTCCACCCTCCCAAGCATGACGTCTCTCTCCAAGAACTTGTTCCTTCTTGCAGCATTTCCAAATTATGTCAGACGAAGCTTCAGAATCCTTGCCTCCAAGGAGCAGCTTGGTTTAACCTTCTCTAGGACAAAACTGTTCATTCTCTTAGCAGTCCATGGTATATTCAATTTTCTTTTCCAACACCACAGCTCAAAGATATCAATTCTCCTTCTTTTATTCCTAGTCATCGTCCAGCTTTCTGATGCATAGCAAGTGATCGCAAAGACCATGGCCTGTGTCAGCTGCACCTTAGTATCCAGACTGACATCATTGCTTTTCACTACTTTGGAGAGATCTCTGACAGCAGACTTTCAAAGCGCAACACGTATTTTAATTTCCTGGCTACTGGTCCCAAGAATGTTGACTATGGAGCAAAGAAACTAAAGCTGTGAACAATCTCAATCTCTTGGCCATCTATCATGATGCTACCAATCTTTGTTTTCTTGATGTTGAGCTCCTTATTGAAGGATGTAGTCCTTGACCTTCTGCAGCAAGCGCTTCAGATCCTCCTCAGTTTCAGCAAGCAAGATTGTGTTATCTGCATAACACAAATTGTTGATGAGTCTCCCTCCAGTCTTGATGTCACATTTCACCTCATACAGCCCAGCCTCCCGAATAATCTGTTCTACATAGAGATTGAAAAGAAAAAGAGATAAGACACATACCTGGTGTACACCCTTCCCAATTTTGAACCCTGTAGTATTTCCTTGCTCTCTTCTGATGACTACCTCTTGGTCCAAGTATAGGTTTAACATTAGCATGATCAAGTGTTCTAGGATTCCCATTTTTCTTAGAGTCAGCCACAATTTGTTGTGGTTGACCCAGTCAAATACCTTTGTATAATCAATGGAACACAGATAGACGTTCCTCTGGTACTCCCTGCTTTAAGCAAGATGCATTTAACATTAACTACAATATCCCTAGTACTAGCAATCAGTGAATACTACTAAAATTAGTTAGCTATATTTATAGCACTTTGAGCGATTGGCATGGGTTCTTCCATAATCTTTTCAGTGCATCTTTTACCTCCTTGTTCCTTAGACTATAAATGAGAGGATTCAGCATTGGGATCACTAGGGTATAAAAGACAGAGGCCATCTTATCAGTGTCTAATGAGTGGTTGGTCCTTGGTTGCAAATACATGAATAAGAGAGTCCCGTAGAACACAGTGACAGCTATCATGTGAGAGGCACAGGTAGAAAAAGCTTTTTGTCTTCCTTCTGAGGACTGTATCCTCAAAATGGCTAAGACGATATTGAAGTAGGATACCAACACAATGATCATGGAAAAAAATAAATTGGTCCCTGAAAATGTAAAGACGGCTGTTTCTGGAATGTAGGTATCAGAACAGGACAGGGCTAACAAAGGGACGTTATCGCAGTAAAAGTGATTGATTACATTGGAAGAACAGTATGACATGGAAAAGACACAGGAGGAGACAGTCAGTGCTGTGGTCAGACTGTACAGGTAGGTGAGGGATACGAGCAGAAGGCAGATCTGTCGAGACACCACAACCATGTAGAGCAGAGGGTTGCAGATGGCCACGTAGCGGTCGTAGGCCATTGCTGCCAGCATGAAAATCTCAGCCACGATGAAAACTAAGAAGCCACCGAGTTGAGCTGCACAGCAGTAGTAAGAGATGGTTTTCTTCTTAACCAAGAAGTTGACCAGCATTTTGGGGGCAATGACAGTAGAATTACCGAGATTGATGATTGCCAAGTGTCTCAGGAAAAAGTACATGGGTGTCTGAAGACGAGCGTCCACGCTGGTGAGGGTGATGATGCCCAGGTTCCCTGCCACGGTCAGTCCGTAGATCAGCAGGAAGACGAAGAAGAGGGGGACCTGGAGCTCTGGCCGGTCTGAGACTCCCATGAGGACGAACTCCATCACTTGAGTGAAATTCTCTGCAGCCATTTGTTGTGTTATTTTTGTCTTTAAGTAGAGATAATGGAAATAGTGGAAAGGTGATAAATATCACTTTTCTGTTAGTTACAACTAAAATTTCCATTACAATTAGGTTACTTCTGATCATACATTCTGGACATGATTTTCTTCCTATCTTTTCGCAAATTTCGGAAGTAAGGGCTAAGCAATGACCATCTGAAGTTGATTCTTGGGACTGTCTAAATTATTGATTCACTGTTATGTATAGTTTACATATTAAATTATTCTTTATTGACATATATATGCATATTTCCCATCGCTATTTGATGAGATATAAAGAGGAAATTCTAATGCCTTTGAGTGTGACTCTCCAAAATGCTAAAGAGCAATGATGTCAGTCTAGAGACTAAGGTGCACCTGATCCAGACCTAGGTCTTCACAATTACTTGCTATGCATCACCTAGCTGGACAATGGCAAAAGGATGACGGAAGAATTGATGTCTTTGAGTTGTAGTTCTGGAGAAAAGTATTAACCATACCATGGACAGTCAGAGAACAAATAATTCTCTCTGGAGAGGGTGAAACCACATTCTCCCTGGAGACAAGTATTTTGAAGCTCAGTTTCACATACTTTGGGCACATTACCAGGGGGGAAAGGTCCTTGGAGAAAAACATCATGTTTGGAAGGATGGAGGGACAACACAGGAGAAGATGACTCAGGATGAGATGGATTGACTCATTGGGGCGCTGGGGGGGGGGAATGGGACTAGATGTGTGGGAATCAGTGAAACTGGCTCAGGACAGAGTAGGGTTCAGAACTTTTGTACACAGGGTCACTATGAGTCATCACTATGAGTCACAGGTGACTCGATAGTACATAGCAACAATAAGAGTGGCTTAGTAATAAGCAATTGCACTGCCAATGTAAGGGCACACAATTTGAATTCACCAGGTTCTCTGGAGCAGAAATATAAGCAATTTCTTCCCATGTGATTTAGTACCATGAAAATCCCCTGGAAGGTCAACTATGAGTAGTTTCTGACTCAATATCACACAACAACAACAACAATATATTATTTTTTTCTTTGCCACCGATTTCCTAATTAAAGTACCTTGAGTAATTACTATTGGACTTGACGAGCCATAATTATTTCTGTTATGTTTTGTTGAGTTGCTTGTGACTCAGTTACCCTACATACAACAGCTCTGAACCCATCTCTATTCTGAACCAACCTCATTGTCCCTGAAACACCAACCCTCATTACCCCAGTCACTGAGTCAATCCACCTCCTAGAGGGTCTTCCTCTCTTGCATGGTTCCTCTTCCCTTCCAAGCATTGTGTGTCTCTCCAAAGACTGGTCCATAGTTAACATATGTTTTGGTTTTTGGTTTTTGTGGGGTTTTTGGGGGTTTTTTTCCTTACCTGCCAAGTGTTTCTGTTCCAGTCCATCCCATATCAACAACCTGAAATCTTTTTGCACATCTGTGGGAAACAGTTCTAGAACCCTGACTTTCCCCTTTAATAATATTGACCACATCATTCTGCTTCATCCTCAAACCAACCTCTATGTTAATACCATTCCTGTTACAGATGGAGGATGATGGATTTACTTCTTAATAAACTTTCCCCCACATCTAAGGAGTTTTTCTGACTTCTCATTCTGACTTGCCTTTATTCCATTTTATTTATTTTATTATTCTTTTTTCTTTTAGGTTGGCTTGCCTTGTTTTCCTAGTTTCCATCTTTCCCCCTTTTAAACTATATAAAGCTCTTTTTTGGTACTCATGCAGTTAATTGTGATTATTTAAAAGTCTGATTGTTAAAGCTCAATCATTTTCTGCTACTTCTATAGAAAAATGAGAGATAAAGTTGATACCTTTATAGTGTCCATTCTGTGTGTATTATTGTTAGTTCCCATGGAACGATTTTGGCATATGGTCACACCTCATATGTAGATCAGAGCTGCTGTACATACTATTTAAGGCTCTGATCTTTGAGAAGCTAATTTTGAGCCTTTTTTTTATGGATTGAAATTGTTAACTTCTCAGCTAGGAGTCCAATGCTTAAATATCTGGGCCACTCATGGAGTCCCACTTTCTACCTAGAAAGATATTAAGATCTTCGAAGTAACTGCTCGTTATTCTCCATCAAAGTGTTTTAGGCGGTGGACACAACTATTTCCATGTTAGAGAACTGAGGCTCAAAAAGTCTGCACAAGCTATGGAGTGGATAAAAGCCCAAGCTTGCTCTTTCCAGGCAGCGCGGAGCCATGGGCATCTCCCGGGACAACTGGCACAAGCGCCGCAAGACCGGGGGCAAGAG